CTGATAAGATTTGAGGTTACGAAATGTTTGAATGTGACGTGACATTCTTGATGCGACGTGCCACCCTTCCACAGATTACAGTGCGGTTCATATATGTGAATGCATCTTGAAAAATTGAAGCCTTCATCCGACAATAACTGAAGTTCACTTGAACTAAAGGGTCTCTCCTTAAAGGTGAATACGAGGTAACGTCCTACGGATTGAGAATTCAAGAGAATTCACATTGAGAATTCAAAAAGGAAAATTTTCTTAGGAGCATGGAAATTGTGAATGTTTGAAGGAATGTTCTTTGAACTGTCAATTTCGGAAGTGTACGGAAGAAGGACCATCCCGAAACTTTGTTTCCATATATATTGAAAAAATGATTCCTTTTATCTTTCAACTTCGGAAGCTCGAAAAAGCTCATACAAAAAAGTTTCCATTAAGGTCATGTAAGAAAGAATTCATTGCAATATAAGAGAGATTTTATAATGATTTCATGAGATAGTTTTTATAAGGATAATTACATAAGGTAATCTTCGTAAGGATCACGAAATCAAAAGTAAGACGCCAAATAAGATTCAGTGGTGTTCACACGAGAATGATTTTATGATGATCACGTGTCTTAGGTTTCATAAAGATTATATGACAAAAATTTTATAATGATCCCATAAAAGAGATTCATGGAAAAAGTCCTAGGAGCATTGTGTGCGGAAGATTTCTTTAAGATCATATAAGAAAGACTGTGTGATGACCATAAATGAGGATTATGTAAGAATTTACATGAGTATTATGCAAGAAAGATTTTGCAACAACTAAATAATAATGATTCAACAATGTTCACATAAGGTAAGCTTCATTAGGATCCCGCAATAAACTAACAAAGATTTAGCGGTGTTCGTATAAGAGTGATTACGTAAGGATTACATAAGAAGGAATTTACAATGATTACATAAGGCAGGTTCTATAAGAATAATATAATAAAGATTCAGCAGCATTCATACGAGAAAGATTTACTAATGTAGGTTTCATCAGAATCATAAAAGAAGGATTTTCAATGGGCCATTGGATCGAATGGTGTACAGATATTCATAAGTTACTGTGAAAAGCTGAGAGTACGGTAGGCTCGAAGACGGTCACTCGTATACGATTGAGAAGATAGCTATATCTCCTCAAGTAATCATAATTGCTCGGCAATATATATTATGTTAGAAGGCAAACCTGAGAGTACGGTTACCTTCAAGATGGCAACCTCTACAGAGCTATAGTGACGTAAAGAGATAGTGATCTATAGCAGTAGAATGTATATGAAGGAGCGATTTTGCGCTCGTTAGTAAGATAGCTTTATGAAAATAGCCATAACACCTCAAGAAAGCGGAATCGCTCAACAAAACATATGTTTTTCTGAATGTAGAGAATCGGCTGGATCGAATGGTGTACAGAATTTTATATGTTACTGGGCAAAGCTGAGAGTGCAGTAGGCTCGAAGATGGCCGCGAAGTGTTATAGGTTTTAGATCCTAAAGATTAAAAATATCTTCAGCTATTCGATTCATTACTGAGTTGTGATATTTCTTGTATTGTTATCCATCCGTTCACTTTGCGCTACCAGCACCAGTACGCAGAGTTCAGTTGGGCTGCTAACACCTTTAAGGAAAAATTCATTTAGGAA